GTGATTGTTTCATAACAATGAACAGGCTATTAATTTGATATGCACCATGGAAATATCCGCACAATCCGACAGGGGGGTGGTTTAGCCTGCGAAATACGGTAATATATATTTAGTTCGTGTATTTTGATTAAATTGTATATCTTGAAATAATAAAACAGAATCGTAATAAAGTACAGGCCATCTAAGTAGAGTTCCTTGTCCATCTGATGTTATAGCAGGTGTATTAAGATCAACACTATTAATTCTTCTTTGAATTAAAGAATTATATCTTATTTGTTTAGCAGAATAGGTTTCACTCCACAAGTTTTTTCTAGTTCTGTTAATTCTACACCTATTGGTAGGCAAAAATTTACTTGTGGTCTGGCTATTTATTCTAATCCTATCATATAAATATTTTTATTTGCACTAGAAAAACAACAGGTGCAACTTGAACTACAAGGTCCTGGTTCACTGGTATAGCAATACCTGCAACTATTATTACAATTTTTATTTTTTCTATATTATTTTTTTTTACTATTGTAGATGTTGTTTTGGATGTTTTTGTGTTTTGGATATTGTTTTTTTTCTAGGTTTTGTTTTTTTTATTGGTTTAGTTGTTATTTTTTTAGTTGTCTTTTTTTTACTAGGTTTAGTAACCGTTTTCTTTTTCGTTTAGTTGGAGTTACTTTTATTGATATTGTTCAACAAATTGAATAAAAAAGTAATAGCTTTTGTGATTACAGTTGTTAAAATTTGCTTGAGACCTGAGATTAAAATAAATTCAAAAATTTCTTTATAGAAATGTGCAGTGCCAAAAATTATTATAGATAAAACAAGAATAATTTCTAATAAAATTATAATAAATAAAAAATCATAGAGGTTTGATTTATCTGTAAAGAAACAGAAAAATAATTCTTAGTGGTTCTATTTATATTTTTTATATAAATAGTTGAGCTCTACGTATTGAGATTTTAGTAGTTAAAATGCGATTTTATTTTTTTGTTTTCTTTTTGTTAATAATTTTAACAATTGGTGAAACAAGAGTAACAAAATACGTTAAAAGTGAAAGATCACAAAAAAATATATTCGAAAATATGGATGCAAATTATAAAATCTTTTGTTATTTTATTGATAATTTATTTAATTTTTATCACATGTGATTCATGTACTGCAAGAACTAGAAGAAGAATTGGTAGAATTAAACAACCAAAAAGAATTGGAAGACCAAGAATAAGAAGAAATAATCATCATCTAGTAGTAGTTGTACCAAGACCAAAGGGTCTACATTTTGCTAAAACACCTGTTTAGACACTACCAGATAGTGTAATTGATAAATTAGTAACTTGAAGAGCAGGAAAATATCGTGATATATTAAATAAAAATAAAAAGGTTACAAATCAATATAAAGGAGGAATTTATATTGAGAGAATTGGAAGAGATAGTTGAGTGAGATATTCTCCAGTTCATAAATTAATTAAAATATTACCAACACCAAGGTCTAGAGTATCAACTTCTAATTAATAATAAATTAAATATCTTCACAAGTTAATCGTATAATAAATCTTTTAGTTACTAGTAGTAATACAAATAACAATTTAAATCAAAGATTAGTTAGAATTAGAGATACAAATACTAGAATAATAGATAATTTTGGTATTAATTATAATATAAATATTACAATTGAAAAACAACAAAGTAAAATTTTAAATTTTTCAGCTAAAAATAAAGAAGATAATAATTTTAAAAATATAATAGTTGAAATTTTAAAAAATCTTCAAATTGAATATAATGTAAACAAAAGTGATGAAGAAAATTTAAAGATTATTTCAGATGAAACTAAGATATTATATCAACTATCTCAATCATAAAAGATATAAATATCTCTAATCTTCATAAAAAATAAAACAAAAAAAATATCTACCACAAATCTACCACCTGCTACAACTACTTCAATATCAAGACAAGTAAATCGTATTGTTATAGAACAGTTTATTATTTTATTAGTTTATTATTCCGATATTGTATTTTATTATTTATTTTATTATTA